CGGTTTCCCACATTGTTCGAACGTTCCATGTACCTATAAAAATTTTTGCTCTGGTTGTTAGAAGGGGCATCGGCCTCGTGGCTTCCGAAGGAACTTGGCTTTCACCATGAAGCGTCATAATTCTTCTAAATGAAGACCTTCTAACTCCCAGGGCAGAGTTAAAATGGTTTGGATTATTTTTTCTGGTAAGCGTTTTTTAGCGAGTTAGTTTTCTACGGGATGGGGACGCTAACCCCATGCCCAACCCTCCTCCTTTACCCGGGCTTGGGACCGGCAGCAACCCTATAAGAGCTACAGGCGGAGTTAGACAGTAACTTAGGAATGCTAAAATATTTACCTATTTCCACACATTCATACGTATACTCTCGGCCATACCACCAGGGAATTTGACAGCCTCGATAAAATATCACAACCATTGCATTGAATACTTCATTTGTAAATTCCCATCATTTATCCATCACATTCTGCATGATTCTTTCAGTCCACATCCTCTTTTTTTCCTCATATTCTCTTCAACTCGATCTTCTTAACCTTCTGCTGTAAGGTTTTCCACTTCCGATCAGTGTTACAAATTTGTTATGTCGACAGACAAAAGTAGTATACACCACAGCTGTATGATTTTTCATTCCACGTTACTCGTGTTTCCCATTCCTGACTTATGCTAACTAGGGAAATTCTGATAAATATACAACAATCCATATGTTGCTACAATTCGGGACTCAATCACAGCTCTTCTTTACATGCCTTTGTTCACTCAGTTTTTCAGTCTTAACATGTAATCTATGAAAATAAACCAATGAATCACAATTCAATCACAATTCGTGTCTTCAAACATCAATTTCCTTGATGATGTATTACACATGGTTATCTTTGTGTTTCATCAACACAGAAGTACACATTTTGATTTTCGTTTTGAGTAAATGAAATCCACACAGATTGAATACTGTGATATTTTGGTAATCACTAATTTAATCGATTGATTTATTCAAGCAAATGTTCAATAGTAGTTCGATTCGTGTATCATTCAGAAGACATTGGTGTTATGCAGCTCATGTGATTTAGATTCTGTAAGTTTCCTTTCATTAACAGTGCTGAATTGAAATTAATCTGGTCCTAACTGCCTTCACACCTCAGTATTGTAGATATTCACGAATAGATCTGGAAGATTTCTTAAAAGGTCTATAGCGGTATATATGATCAAGGTGCTATCAAAAATGACGAATCGATCTACCACAAAGTAGCAAATATATATTTATAAAGTGAAGGTGAACATGATGAAAGGGATCATCATCATCATCATCAACTTGAAGTAAAAATGTAACGTTCATTATGTTGATTATCATAAAGCTGTCCTTCCAGTTAACTTGTTTCTGAAGATCGCATTACAATTCACTTGATAAGATGATATTTGTAGTGTGGTGTCGAGTCGCGGTTGACTATGAACACCACTACAAGGAGACTACGTGCCAGTTAACCGGTAAAATCCCACGTAAGCCAAATATCAGAAGGCAGTTGATGGCTGTAGTCGAGATGTATTTGTTAGCCAACTGACGTATTGATTATTTGCTCTATAAAAATGGTCTCTTCCATGTTCTATGTGCCGAGTACCTGACTTCTCTATTGGAGCCCAGACAATTCAACTCCACCACAGTCATCTTACATCACCATTCATTGTTCATCTGTGTTGCTCAGTACAATCGCTTTGTTATCACTGTAATAGTTCACATTGCAACTCCAAACAGTGACACTTCCATGCATTTTCCGGTCAAACTATTCCATCAGTAAATATCTATAGATATACTTATAATATAACATTCTCATGCAAGGTTATTTGAGGTTCAATAATTCTTGATAATCAAGGGAAAGTTCGATTTTGTTCACAAATAAATGTATACCATGAGTTCATTAATCCCATGTGTGAACCGACTGATTACCTGAGTCATGTTTGTTTAATGCTTTTATTGTAGCGTCACCATCAGTATTGTCGTTGCATATTTTAAGGTTCAATTTTCAGTAATTGAAATCAATCGAGAGGAGCCTATAAACGTATGCATCCTGTTAGTTGACAATGATCAAAAAGATGTATCTCTTCACTTTAGGGAACTTACGGTGGTTGTTAGATTAGAATCTAAAACTCTTTCCATCTGGAACCAGACCATTAACTATTTCGAGAATTGTCTGAACTCTGAAGAATGAACGAACATAACATTGATGTAACAAATCTCACTCACACAGAGAGCTTAATTAGCTCGGTAGTAACTCGTATTCAGAATCTCTTATCCAAATTCTTTTTATGTTTATATCTTTCCTAAACTTCCCATTCATCTTTCCCAATTCACATTGATTCCTCTTCATCGTAACTACCTTGACTCTACCGCATTTATTACATACTGAATTCACAATAACGACGGTTATATCACTACTACTAATAATAATAATATTATGATTATTATTATATTGATAAAAACCTTACTACAACTCATTCTGAACTTCATTAACTGACTTGACTTGTTTACAAATCACACCACCTTCAAGTAGTTCTATAGAAACAGATGAGAATGATTAGCACTTTTCACATATAACATTGGTCATTTTATTCATGCCTGCCTTATATTGTCATACCCTTTAGTTGTGCAAAATAGATTTAAACTATTTATCGAATGGAGTAGTTTATAAAAGAATCCTCACAGAGGCTCTCAAAAGCGAAATATCTTCCTCACCTCTCCTCTGACTTGCAAATTTACAACAATACTAATAAGCTCAACACTAAAGCTTCACTTCACATTTGAGACGACAACAATCCATCAAAGGAAAAAATAAATTTGATCGGAACAAAAGATACTACCTATTTGAGGATTGTTTTTGAAACAACAACCATTTCAAACAAACAATATAAAAATTCCGGTAGGTGGGAAAAACAGTGAGAAGATCAAATAAAAGGAGAAATTGGTGAATAGAACAGAACAACAAAGATGATGACGATAATGACAACATTGACACATGCACACACACACTCACACATGCTTATTAACATGTTACCAGATTTTAAAGATTGTTAGTGTTCACTAATTGTAGGCAAATATATCAGTGTGTGCGTGTGTGCTCAAGCAAAGAAACTCGACAACAACTTCACATCACACTAAAGTGTACTAATACATGGAATCAACCAGATTGGAGACTATTTGAAAAATCACACATGATGTCAGGTCCTCCCTTGAACTGTGTTGCTTGATAAGTCATGCTGTTGCTACAATGTGGAATATTGGTACGTAAATGTTTGCATGAGTCAAATGTATTGAGAGGAAAAGACATGTTTAGTCAGTAATCAATCAAGTTCAAAATATATCCTAACTGACCTGCTCTTTTAAGTGAAACTTGTATTTCATCATTTTGTTTCCTACAATGTTATATCATTGTGCTAGACCTGTCATTGTCTTGTATTTACGAAACGTCAATGTCGAAGCTGGTATCAGATTCACTTAAAAGATGAACTACGTAGGTTTGTGTCTGGTTTGACGGTATATTATTGTTGAGGGAGTGTGTTATATCCGAGCAAAGATTAAATCACGAGTAACTTCTGAGGCATATTAATTGACTAATATACATAAGCCATAACAATTGCCGGTGATTTTGGAGTTAATATTATTATTAACAGTGAACAAAATGGCGATTTCTTTAGAACAGTTACAGTTAATATTACAACAGCATTAGCAATAGTACCAGAAGATGTTAACAGAGTGTTAATGAAATCACGTATGAGGGAAATTGTAAGTGAAAATCGTCAGAAGGAAAGCAAACTAATGGCCCGATAAGGTACGGGAAACATATACGTTTAGAGATAAGAGTCATCGATGAAGAACACTTATACACGAGCGTTAATACAGGAGATTCGCTAATGAAAGTAGTTAAAGAGAGATATCAAAAATGTTTAAGTGTTGCTCCTACTGAAGCAACGTATATTCCGATGCTCAGTTGTATTTGAAATCTGTTACATATAAGCTATATGGGATTACGAGTAATTGAATAGTTTATAATTCCATCACATTACCAAACGAAACCTCACCTACTGCATTGTAACTAGAAACGGATAGAGTGAATTTAGTTATGAAATAGAAATTTTCACTTGATAACTGTTGGTCAACAAAAGTAGTTTACCTAAATTCATTAAACGAGCAGAATCAGAGATGCAGAACGATATTTATAAGTGGAGTAGTAACAATATGATAAATGGACTGAAGTTAGAGTAGTAAATCAAATGATGCGTCGTAGAAAATGTCTGCAGATCTTGGTTTTGTCTTCGGTAGAATTGTTGTTGTGCACTGTTGAGGTTTATTACGCTTGAACAGAAGAGATTTCATCATAAACTGGAACGATATTTATGTTCAGCAATCTCTGTGATTGTTTTGATATCAGCTCTGAATGGAACTGTTTTTCAAGTTAATTGACTTCACTGATAGCACATATTTTAAAAAAGATTCATGCAACCAGTCAACTCCTACCGACGTAACGTTACATTCTGCAGTAGTTACGTGACTTTTGTTACCGTCATTCTAAATACAGGTAGCGATACAAACGCATCATTCATTCTAATGCACATTCAATCAATTCCAGATCGATCACGATATAAATTGACGACAATTCATGAGAGAAGATGATTGATATCTGATAGTGGTCATATTGACATTCCAAATAATGAAAATTGACTACTACTTTTGTAGGACAATGATCTTCGGAAACATTTGTCCTACTTGTAAGTAGTTTAAAGGCATGGATAAAAAATTAGCCACCAGCCTGAGTTTTGACTGGTATCATGAATCGATCAATGTTAGACCACCGTTGAAAACCTGGAACACAGGATGGTCATTTCGTCTTAGTACGAGACTCCCCAGCACTGTGCATCCATGATCGCGCATTCGTGACTCGAACCCATGACTTTCGATCGTACACTCAAATCGGAGAGAGGTCACTGCACAACTGAATATTTACAAGAGATCGGTCACGGGCATAGTATGGTAGTAGTAGTAGTAGTAGTAGTAGTAGTAGTAGTAGTAGTAGTAGTAGTAGTAGTAGTAGTAGTAGTAGTAGTAGTAGTGGTAGTAGTAGTAGTAGTAGTAGTAGTAGTAGTAGTAGTAGTAGTAGTAGTAGTAGTAGTAGTAGTAGTAGTAGTAGTAGTAGTAGTAGTAGTAGTAGTAGTGATAACCATAGTTCATAGAAATTTTCAATGTCACATTTTCTTCAGTATACGTTCCGATGCAACAACAGTTTGTATAATCATTATGTGGATAAAATGAACTGTTTGTAGATAGAGAATTGTTTGAACCTTAGTCTTCCGTTATAGATGGACCACATATTGGAACTACAACGAGATTGTTGAAGCCTTTTGGAATAGGCGTAGCACACGAAACAACAATATTACTACAACAAATACTATGCAAATCAAAAGATGAAACGACAAAAGAATAATAATCAAACATCATCTACAAAATAGATTATGTCAATTGTGAAAATCACTACATCGAACACAGTGGATGCCCTCTTCATCTTTGCCTGCACGAACATGAATTATTGGTCAAAAGCCATAACATATCTCAATTCTTGTCGTTGATTTCCTTCCATGTGATGAGATATTTCACGCGTGCCTAAGTCAAAGGAGATTAATTCAACTGTCGTTGTACTTTTATTCATAACTTCAATCTATACGTTGTACAGAATATATCGCAAGCAGTCTTTTGACATTTCACCAGATTAATAGTGAGAAATTTAAAAGTGCACAAATGAGAAATTCCTGGCCAATTGATTATTTCACAACGATACATAGTTTCACTCATTTAGATATGAGGAGTAGTATGACCTGATTTTCATTCACATAGTGTTAGCTAATGATCAATCAATTAAAAGAACAGCATAATAAGAATAAATTGGATGGTTAAAATGTTGATTTACGTTGATTAGACGTTTTGACTGAATACATTTGACCAAGAAGAAACTCCAAAACTCAGGAATTGGCACAATTATTCGTCGATGATGTGTGATTAGGTTGGAGAATTCGCTAACACCTGAAACAACAACTCAACAGTATCATGCTCATGGCTATACTCGAGGGTTTTGAACTTGATCTCATGTGAATCTAATGGTGTGTTCAAAATGGAGTCTGGAAACGAATTCACTTACTAATCACTTGTTTTTAGTTTCAACCGAATTATTGTCTGATGTAACTGTTGTTTTAGTCAAGACATGTACTACTAATCAAGATAGACATCTAAAGCAATGAAGAGGAGTATGAGGTTTATGGAAGAGAAGATCTAGATGACTTGACTGATGACGATCTGATTGAGAACAATATTGTTCGCTTATATGCGTTGTTCTACTTTTCTTCAATGGGAGTCTTGAATATTGAAGAAAAGTGATACATTTTCTTGAAGTATCATCCTTTTTATTGACATTTTGTCACAATGTTGCTTTCTATCCTTACTGTAGGTCTCTCAGATATGAAGTAAATCATAATTAACCTATTCCGATGAACCCGATTTTTCTTAGTTGCACGCATTTACTCTGTTTATATTCTTTACTTTTCAATCTTCCATTTTTGTATTCGAACAGGATCAAACTCGTCTGAAGGTGAAGAGAGACATCTTATTGGCAACTGCTTATAAAACAGAGCGATCGGATCAAGGCAGCGTTTGCTGTACGTGATAAACAGTATCAGTTTAAACAAATGCCGTTCGGGTTGGCTGGTGCACCGTCCACGTTCAGAAGATTAATGACACTACTGCTCAAGAATCTAGATAATGTCGAGGTATATGGCGACGATGTATTTGTGTACAGTCAGACAGAAACAGATCATGTCAAGCACGTGGAGGCGGTCTTAAAGCGAATTGACGAATTTGGACTTCGAATTAATAAGGACAAGTCGCAGATAGCGAGAAATAGCGTCACGCTGTTGGGACATAAAGTGGGAAACGGAGAAATAAAACCATCGCCGGAGAAAAATCTTACCATAAAAAATATTGCAGTACCTATTTCGAAAAGGAAGTTGAGACAGTTCCTGGGAAGAGCGACGTTCTGCAGTCGGTTTGTCAAGAATTTCAAAGAGAAGGCAGCACCCTTATATAAGTTGTTGTGCAACAGCAGGTTTACGTGAACTGAGACTGCCGAACCAACGTTCAACCGAATCAAAAGCATGCTAAATCTCAGCACGGATTCAGAAAGCTCGTTTGGCTTTTGCCAGCTTGTCACCTCTGGCGAAGGAGATGTATTTGTCTATCAATTAAGGGACAAATATGCTGTGCAGCAGTTCGTTCTGTTCTACATTATGGCTGCGAAATGTGGCCATTAAGTATAGAAGATACTCGAAAGCTACTAGTATCTGACCACAGATGCCTTAGAAATATTGCTCTCATCTGCTGCGATCATCGGGTAAGTAATAGTGAGGTTAGACGCAGGGTATTGGGGGATGATGGTGAATCAGTTGATGAGGTTATGAATCTTCATCGACTGAGATGGTTGGGTCACGTGTTACTTATGCATGAACACCGATTACCACAACTTGCCATGTTGACTAGTGTTTGGGATGGTTGGATGAAAGTTAGGGGTGGCCAAACGAAAACTTGGCCTCACTCTTTGAAATCACAAAATTCTGGTGTGAGCCATGTTGGTAGATAAAGACTACTTGGTTGGTGTCCGTGTCACTATCATAACCAATGGTTGGAGATTGTGGGTGACATGACTCAGAATCGACAGATCACAATGGTATGGGTGTATACACACTCTGTCTACCCTTAAATTGTGAGATTGAAATCGCTTCATATCTTTCTTTGTACCAACTAATTCTTTCTTTCTGTACTATATCCTTACATAAAATCTTTCTCTTATATATTACCACGATTGAGTTAACTGCTTCTATGAATCCTGTGTTGGTCTTGTTGTGCTAATGAGGTATGGCGACTTCAGCCGATACATATATGTGCCTGATCCTACTTTGTAGGTGGCTGACTGACTTATGCATTTTATTCGCTAGTTCAACATACTTTCACACTCAAGTAATCAGTTGAGGTTGTAGCGCGTAGCAAATCGTTTATCAGTATCAGATTTCGGACACCGCCCGTTACAATATATATGGACTGGACTGGAAAAACGTTGCTTTCGAGAGGTAGATTCATAATAGTCTATCACCTCATAGTAACTAGTATCACGTTCACTAGTCAACAGTGCATCCACTTATATAAATGATCTGATGTTGAAGTTTTGTTTGTCCGATTTAAGACGTTTGAAGATAATCAACTAACAGTCCTAGATCTAAGTTTCATCCTTTCCAAAACTTATTATCTGACTTTTTCACAGGAATTATATTCTTATAATTTTCTATCCGACATCACTGAGTGTTACAAATGTAGTATTCATTACACGACAGACCTTATGTAAAACTATGACATTCACACTAAGTGATAGAATTAGATCATGTCAATAAAAAATATTTATATAAGAAGGGATCTTTGTGGATATTATGGTAATTTTAATAGTTCAATTCATGAGTAAATTGAAGCTAAACCCCTATGGAAAACATAAAAGCATTGGATAGCCGTTTTGTCCTATTATGGAACTCTTAACACTGCGTATCCGCAATCCAGAGACTGATATGTCATGGGTTCAAATCTTGTGAGGAGAGATATCTTATCGATACTAACCAGTCAAAATATTAGGTCTTACTCTGTTATAGACTCTAACGAATTATATATATATATATTATTTTCTAAACATATAACAATATATCAGAAGGGGTTTTGTGGAGATTTTTAGAAATTTCACTGATTGAAATCATGAGTCAATTGAAGCTAGACCATCATGGTTTAGTTGGCTAAGCGCCTGGCATGAGACTGACAGGTCATGGGTTCGAACCTCACGGGGTGAGGGATCGTGGATGCGCACTGCTACTGAGGTGTCTCATACTAGGACGTAACGGCCGTCCAGTGTTTCCAGGTTTTCCATGGTGATCTAGCTCCAATTGACTAATGATTTCAATCAGTGATATAACAATTTATTAACGACGACGACGACGGGAGGTGGGGAGAGGTAGAAAAAACAAGAGAGTAAAACAAAGAATTAATTTTCTTTCTTTCAATTTCTTCGTTGATTCGAATTCGATCGACTTTTTGAACTAGATTTTGAACTTCTTGATGATTTAATTCTTGTGCTTTTTTTTACATTTTCAATTCGATTTAGAATTGGTTCTGTATTATCATGTTCAATCATTGTTTGATTGCATGATGCTTCTTTATCATTTTTATATTGTTTTATTATATTATTTCTATAATTCATACACATTTCGTAGTATTTATAATGTGCTTCATCAGTGGCGAACTATTGATTGAAAAAAGAAAAAAATTGAGAAGAACAGAATGAAAATAACACAATCTTAAGTACATATTATTGAACAATAAATATCCAAACCAAATGAGAGAATGAGACTCTTATTTATGGACGAGTAAATCAGAAGCGTTTGAAGGATTTCATGGTGATGGTGCTAGTTTCAGTACCTGATGCCTACAGATACCTGCACAAACTTGGATGTGTGCATCATGTTGTTATTTACAAGCGTTATTTTGTAGACCCTACAACTGGAGTACACACTGACAATATTGAAGTTATGTGGTCGAAGCCAAAAAAGTTCTTACGACCCTATCATGGCTCGAGAGGTCGACTATTATAGAGCCATATGGATGAGTCCCTCTATCGTATGTACTATTATTTCAGTACCTCTGAACCTTTTTCAAATCATGATTAGTCTTCGAACCACTTTAATTCTTTGGGTTTTTTTGTAATATATATATATATTTCTGAAGTACATTCATGATTCGTTCAAAGGTCGTCCATAGAGTCTCATCAATAAGAGATATAATCAAAATATTAAAAAAAGTAAATAATGATGAGTTGAAGATCAACTAGAAACTAATCAACATGAAGATCTACACGAATAAGCTATGAGTTATATGTGGAGAAATGTGAACATTTCATTACTGATGATGACGTCCAGAAAAGCGATGAAATCTTCATAATCAAATGATTTAGTTTACTGAAGAAAACTTCATCTAGAATATTGAACAAAACAAAAACTGATGAGATTATAATTTATAGACGACCCATTTGGAGTTAAGAATAGAAAATGTTGGATTTTGACATGAAATTCATTCATTGATTTGGTTAAATACTATTATATCCAAGTGAACATTACATTACGAGTAGCGTCTGGGATCTATTAATGGACTAATATTATTTATATATTCTTATGGTATAGATATTCAGTAACTAGACTGTGCATATCTATATTCTACCTGTTATAAGCTTCATTTCAACCTATAGATTATTAGTATATGCTTTATTGTTCTTAAGCTATGTTCAGTTTATTAACCATTGCCTTCCACGTTCATAGCCACATTTTTGATCTTATTGTGTATGTTATTTCCTATTTTATGGTGTGTTGCAGTATGTTTGTTTAATATATAAACTCAGTATGTCTGAAATGAATGATTCGCGTAGTGGAGGCTGTAGTTGGCATTCTGGACTCAGCTGAACGGGTTAAACGAACAACGAACCATTAGGACGATAGGCTGATCAGACCGGTTGGATGTCGTTAGTTTAGTACAGTACATGGGCGAATAAGTCATATTTTGATTGTCGAATAGATCACGTGATAACTAGCCCGGCATAAACACATAACAAATACCATTTTGATATTATAGCTGGTGTCAATTCATGATGAAAATACTAAATCTAGTTCCTAAGTCTAACATTCGACTGTAAGTGCTAATCCTCAATCCTCAGACTATATTATAACTGTCATTTAACCTTAGTAAATAGGTGAATATTGTCAAGGTCATTTTAGCGTTTCTTAGAGGTTGTCCATAAATTATAGTCTCACCATTGAATTCAGTAGTATATTAAGGTTAAACTGTATGGATAAATGATCGTAGTCTTTTTATAATTGTCCGGTAATTTTTGTGTTTAACTGTAATATTGCCCATGAATGCCCTGGCATGGCCGAGGGTGGGTATAGTCAATTGACTCTCCCTCTCGAAATGCGCTCATATGGTCACGCGTACACAGCCACTGTCAGAGAAGTCCTACTCACTGTTGTTTACGAAATTGAGAGAACGAAAAGCGAATGTCCGGCGCTTCAACTGGGTTGATGGACAAGGAGAGTCCACCTAGGGCAGTTGGAAAACCTTGACTGCGAACCAATTTTGTATATGGCATATGAACCTATTGTTGATCACCGGCTACCATGGGACTGCATCTCGCGACGTTTGTCCACTGCCTTATGGATGACACCTATAGGTCAAAGGCTTGGGATGTGGCCCACTAAGATATATAATAGATGGCAATGGAACCTAGAAATGGGATTTTGTCCTATGCAGAACTCCTAGATTAGGTATATATATATATATATATATATATATATATATATATATATACACTGCTTATCCAACTCATCATATGTCTGTAGCTTATTTTTGTGTGACTATAAGTATTGATTAGCGCTTGGTTAGAGTTGACTTTTGTACATTCTTCACACCTCATCATTTCGCTTCGTCGCTCTGAATGTCTGCCCAGATCAGTGAGTGTACAAAATATATATATTCGAAATCCATTCACATATTTGACTTATATAATTCCGTTAATCACTAACGTAGATGAAGTTGATAATTATACATGACAATTGGCAACATGTATGTTTCTTCAACAGCAATCGATCATACGTTCCAACTGAAGTCGGATCTCGAGCCACTAAAAATGGTATCGAAATATATATCCTGGCTTTCCTCGTAGATAATTAACAATTTAATTCACGTTAGTGAATAAGGGAATTAAAATAAGTCCAATACGAGAAAGGATTTCGAATAATGTATATTTCATACAATCGTTAATCTGGACAGACATTCAGAGGAACGATACAAATAGAAGAGAATGAAGTGAAATGACACACAGTGGAGAAGGAGTGTAGGCCAACTCCATTTAACCAAGCCTTAATCAATGGTTTTAGTTACACAAAAATAAGCTACAGCCATGTGATGAATAAGATAAGCAATGCCCACACATACACTCATATACAATCAGTCAAGGTTGTTAAAGGGAATAAGTTACAAGGTCTAATTAGCCTGTTCACCCAAAAGCTAAAATATGTTATATGAGCTTAATTATCCGTATAAGGGTAGTGGAGATTATTAATTCATTGATTGAGTTCATGAACCGATTGATGTTAGACCACCATTAAAAACCTGGAAGCACTGGAAGGCCGTTTCATCTTATCGTGGCGCTGAGTATTGCGCATCCACACTCCCGCTCACGGGATTCAAACCTAGGGCCTTCAGTCTCGCACGCAAACACTTAACCTCTAGACCACAGAGATCTTCATCATCCAATAGTGTTAATCTCCACAAAACCTTTTCTGATACTAATAAACATATGCTCATTGGTGACTGACTTCATGAAGTTTATCCTAGAGTTCTAGTAAGAAGCAATGACCAGTGGAGTTCAACTGGATCTGTTATGAAATAGTAACTCATTAATGACAATGATGAATGATATCACTAATTAGAGAACAATGAATTATCGATCAGATCAATAAAGCATTAAGCACTGAAATTCGCATCGTAACCTTGAAATCTCTTTGAAACACCTTTGATTGATTCATTCATCAATTAGTTGTTATATTATATTAATCACAATGATTAATCATACTTACTTGAATTGTTTTCAATAAATCAATATAATTTTGTTTATATTGATTTTGTTTTTTTTTAAAATTTAAATATTTAAATTTTAAATTTTTTAAATAATCATTAAATAATTGATATTTGAATTTTAAAATGTCATTTAAATGTTTATAAGATAAACATTGAATTTGTTTTAAAGAATATTCTAGAATAAACCATGGATTCATTGAATAAGAATTCATAATAGATTGAACTTGTTCAATACGTTTACATTCAATCTCATTAAAATGATGATAAAATTTGTTTAAATTCATTAATTGAATTGGATAAAGTGTACGATTTAATTCTGGCGGGAATTTTAAAATATAAATTTTAGATGGATCTAATAATAAAGTGTGATCAAATGAAGAATGATCTTTTATCATTTGTATTAGATTATCTAAAGAAAGAAAGAAAGAGAGTGAGAGAGAGAGAGAGAGATGGAGAATTTTATTAAAACAAAAGAAAATGAATTGATAAACAAAGTGACATCTAATTTAACGCATGTTTCGTCTTTTTGTGAGATTCGTCAATTGTTCATATCCATGATTTACGATTTTACTTCATGTTAACTTCAGGTTATAGAATAAGTTAACCATGTATTGATAAATTATTTAGTGATGTTTTAAAGTTGAAAGAGAACAATCAAACCTTTTTGAGAAAAAAGTGAGTTAGATTTGTTATATCCGAGCGAAGATAAAATCACGAGTACTATCTGAGACAAATTAACTGACTAATCTATACATTCTTATGATATAACTATTCAGTAATTGGATATAAATCGAATGTTCGAGTTCCCCAACTGAAGCAGGTGGGTTTCTTAGGGGGTCATAACCAGAGCCTTTAACCTAAAGATCTAATCCACAAGACGGTGGAGTAACTTTAGGAAATGCAGTCTCATGTTAGCTGGTTACCAATAATTGATTCATATGCCATTTGTTTCCTTAGGATATTAGAGTCCATGTGAATCAAGATGTTGCCACTCCCCTATGTTATATCCGAGAGAAGATTAAGTCACCAGTAACTTCTGAGACCTAATAATGCACTAATATTATTTATATTATTCTTATGGTATAAATATTCAGTAACTAGACTGTGTATATCTATATTCCCCTTGTTAACAGGTTTATTTTAACCTATATATTATTATTGTACGATTTACGGTTCTTAATCTATGTTCAGTTTATTAGCTACTGCCTCCTACATTCATAGTTACATTTTAGCATTACTGTGTATGAATGTTATTTCCTATTTTATGCTCCGTCGCAGTCTGTTTGATTGATATATAAACCCCAGTATGTGTGAAACAAATGATTCGATTCGATTTGCATAGAGGAAGCTGATATTGGTGTTCTGGACTCAAGTGGATGGACTAGGCGGATATAGGACCAATAAGGACGCTAGACTGCCTATACCAGTCGAACGTCATTGGTTTTGGCACAGTACGAAGATTGATTGGTGAATAAATCACATGATAACTAGCCGGATATAAAGTCATAATAGGAATTGTTGAATTATTACTTCTTCATATGATACAGATGTGAATTTAACAAGGAATTGAATGATTGAGTTTTCATGCCAGGGTCGTAACTACAGTGCAATGTGAATATTATTACAAACAAAATACTTTCCTAATAAAAACACTGGTAAGAGTAGGGAGAAATAAGCGTTTGAATAAATGAAAGATTGAAGATGTAAAAGAGACCAGGTGAATACGTTTGCTTCATGAAGGTTCATTTTCATTTTAACAGTTCAGTTAATTATTATTTCAAAGTTCTTACAAGTTTTCAAATGACTATTTATAATTTTCTGTGATCAACTCTATGTCTTACGATGTTCCTAGTTAATGTTGAATAAGACAAAATATTACAATTGATTGATCATTGGGTGATGATCAATGTTATGTATGTCAGGTCTTTCTTGGTTAAGATTGAATCCTATCGACCAATTTGTAATGTGGCCATCAGTCTAGGTGATTCGACATAACGTGCACTGTACAATTTGATCGATAAGATTCGATCTGCACTAAAATCCACCTGACATAAATGACATTGATCACTACCCAGTGACCAATCAATTGTAAATACATTTCAATCATACAGGAGGTTGGTCGGGGCCCGGATAGCTCAGTGGTTACGACTCTAACTGTGAAGCTGGGTGTCACGGGGTCGAATCTGCTAGGGAGCATCAGTCTACTCAAGATTACAGGTACACCTTGCTGACAGGTGCCAAGTAGCACGAAACCTAGGTCAAAGGGTTCCTATTCACTACTTCCAACCACCATCTTATCTCAATATGACACCACTTCAGCTTAGTACGTACACAGAAATAGATGTCTGGGTATCCGTAACACATATATTGATAATTTTATTTCATAATACTAGTGACTTCCCCATTCGTGTTTAGGTTGTGGATAACAGCTGACTGAATGTTCTAGGAATTCAGATCCGACAATATTGACAATTATCAGTCAGAACTCTTTCATACTCATATTTATAAAGTTTGTGAATTTCAAATGGACATGTTCGAATTCTGTACAATTTGAAACCTACAAGGGAAATCAGTTCCATCAAGACTACAGACATGCTTAGTTTATGAGTAATGGTTGAGTTGATACTTAGGTTAAACAAGGTTTCTTGATGACAATACACACAACTAACAATAAAAAAAGTTGATTGATTCACACAACTAACCATCAGATTTAATTGTGATCGTCGATCCTGAATCATCTACAATAGTTTTATTATCCAATTTATTCATTAGACCATATTCTTCAAGATAACGGGCTCTTGATAATTCAGCTCTTATTGCTCTACCAGGTTCCATTTCTTCCCAAGCTCTTTTTAAAGCTTTAATTTCTAATATTTTATTATCCATATTAATGATTTTAATGTCATTCTAATAAAATAATAAGAAAGTAGAAACATTCTATAAACATAAAAGCAGGCAAATCAACAACATTCCATCCATTCACTCAATTTCTATTCTCCAGAATTAATTATAAATAGTATTGCTTAATGATTACTTACTTACTTCTTACTTACGCCTGTTACTCCTCGTGGAGGAGCACAGGCCACCGACAAGCACTCTCCATCTAAACCTGTTCTGGGCAATCCTTCCCAGTTCCTTCCAGTTGTTATTCATATTTGTTTATATTTCCCAACATAATGTGTTCTTTGACCTTCCTCTTTTCCGCTTTCCTTCAGAACTCCAAGTTAGCGCTTGCCTCGTGATGCAGTTTGGTGATTTCCTCAATGTATTTCCTATCCACTTCCAACGTCTTTTCCTAATTTCTTCTTCATCTGGAAGCTGGTTTGTTCTCTCCCCCCAAAAGGCTGTTGCTGATGGCATCCGGTCAATGGATGTTGAGTATCTTGCATAGACAACTATTTATAAATACTTGTACGTTTTTGTTGATGGTTGTAGTAGTTCTCGAAGTTTGAGCTCCGTATAGTAGAACTGTGTTGACGTTCGTATTGAAGATTGTGACTTTGATATTGGCTTACAGACAGTTGTTTTGAGTTCTATATGTTTTTCAACAGCAGGAATGCGGCCCTTTCTTTGCCGATCCTCACATTTACGTCTGCATCGAATCCTCTTTGTTCATCGATGATGCTTCCCAGGTATATGAAGGATTCCACATCTTCCAGAGTTTCACCATCAACTGCAGCATTACTCTGAATGAAAAATCTATTGCATGATCATTGTAGGTAATCTGAAAACGTTTCAATTGCTATGGTGAAGGCAACAATGAACAATCAACGTTAGGTACAAATAACAAAAGGAAGAAACAGCCCAGTTCAATATGACCAACCAATAAAACGAGAACTCATGATCTCAAATATTAAGATTACTATAATATCTATAAAAACCCCTTCTGATAATAATCAATATACGCTCACTAGTGACTGGTTTCAAGAGATATTTCATGAAGTTCTAGTGAGAAGCAATGACCAGTGAAGTTCAACCGGGTCTGTTGTGAGATAGTAATTCACTGAAAACAATGGTGAATATGTCGCTGAATTTCGTGGATTAGTTGAAGTTAGACATTAACACTGTTGGATGCCGGTCGGCTCAGTGATCTAATGGCTAGGCGCTCGCGCGCGAAACTGATGTGTCCTGGGTTCGAATCTCGCGAAGCGGGATCGTGGATGTGCACTGTTGAAGAGTTTTATGCTATGACAAAACGGCCGTCCAGTATTCCCATGTTTTCTATGATGATCTAGATTCAGTCCACTTATGATCTCAACTATTATAATTAATATAATATCCACAAAACCCTTTCTGATATTAAAACGAGAACATGCTTTTTTCAACTGACTAGTTAGATAAAACACACAGTATTAGCATCCCGAACTACCATACGATTGACATTTATAAATGTATACTTGAATTCATAAGTCAATTATATCTAGACTACCATAGAAAACATGGAATTACTGGATGGCTGTTTCATCCTAATATAGAACTCCTCAGTAACTCACTGACGATAATAGTAGACGATGGGGTAATTTTGTGAATTGGTTAAAGTTAGATATTTGTAATGTTCTACTAACAGCTATGCATCTGTAGTGATCTACTTTTATCAGGAGAACGCGATTGGTTTAATGAAAACAATTATTATTATAACCAATTGTACCAATGATTGTTTTACTGTGCTCGTTTGTTTAACTGCGCTGAAGATAGCCTTATTGCTCTTCCATTATTCTCCATTACTGTTTCGCGGTTCGTGACTCCGTTCGCACGTACTTTCTTCTGCCGATTCCGCTTGTACCTTTTCTCGGTATTCATTCGATACCACGAGATCACCAACGAATAAATTTGGTTACGTTCAACCTTCGCCTTCTGATTTATTTGGCGCGTGTTTCTTTGTAGTGGTGTTCATAGTCAATTGGGACTCGACACCACGCTACACATTTATTAACTTGAAATAAAAGTGACTACCTTTAGAGAAATTGTTATAAATAAACAACAGATAAACATCGAAATAGTCCCACTTAAGAAACATACTGATTCTAAGAATAAATCTTACAGAATTATTACATATTATTCTCATTTTCCAATGAGCTTGATTAAAATCAATTTTTGCTGAAGTACCACGTGTAGAACCAGATTTTTGACCAGTGATACCAATTGTTTTGTTTCCAGGTGATTTTGTTGCTGATTTAATAGTTCTACTGTCAGAACTTTTATCAGCTGAAGTATTTCGAGAAGTTGTATTATTTACTGAAAAAGTAAATCAATGAATGAACGATGATTAAGACAAATGATATTCTATTATTGTAGTATTTTCTTATAATGAAGTGATGCTTAATTGGTTAAACCACTTATATCACTATTAATAAGTTGAGATACACTTTCTAAAAACTTGGCCAGTCTACAATATGAAACCAGAGACCAAATATATCCTGGAGACTGAAGGCCTTGGGTTCGAATCCCGCGAGAGGAATCGTGGATGCGCACTGCTGAGGAGTCTCACAATAGGACGAAACGGCCGTCCAGTGCTTCCAGGTTTTCAATGATGGTCTAACATCATCAATCGGTTCATGATCTCAATCAAAACTTAACAATCTCCACAACCTCTATACTGATATATCCTGGAAAGCTGAATTCCCACAATAATTCGAATAGTAATTGACACAAACCTTTAGTACATACATGTGTCAGGGCTGACCGAAATAGATGTGTGCAAGGAATTTTTTGGTCGGATGAATAATGCACTGACATACAAGAGTCTATTCACACATCCATTCATCGCTTGTTATGAGATCTTTCAACAACTAAACATATTGGAATCCTTCTTCACCTTCTTCATTTCAGGAAGCTAGGTCGTTTCACTAGCATTTGCAATGTGATTCAAAGCCGAGTCCGTAAACAAATATTTAGTAAATCAGTTACCTAAACATGAAAAAGCTTTTTTTGATTTAAATGATGTAATTATAAGCATTTTTTAGACAAACATGTCTGCAACTCTGGACGTTCTTACTTCTTCATCCAATTTCAGAGTCCAACTAGACAATATGATATTAGTTGATTTACAACTTATCAATTTTGAGCGATTTTCATATTTCTGAGCTTGATGTTTAGATCATCAAGATTTCAGTGGCTTTTCAAATATCCACATAGTACAAACTTGAAATATTCATTACATCATCTCGTCTACAGAATGCGATAAGATTGAAACTCATTTTCTGTCTCACAGATCTCCAAAATACCAAGTCAGTTTATCAACCTGTGTCATCATCTGGTCCATGATGAGGGCGTGGGTTCGAATCCCACCTCCAACACATACTTAGGCCCCCAAATACGCTCGTACGGCTTAGAGTGAGGAGAGTAAGCTCTCCCTTTTGAAATGCTCTCAAGTGGCCACGTGCATACAACCACTGTCAGGGAAGTCCTACTCCCTGCCTTCTGGTTGCATTGCTGTTGTTTACGAAATTGAGAGGGCGAAAATCGAATATCCGGTACTTTAACCGGGTTGGTTTACTCGGGAGTTTGAAGACCATGGTTATAAATCAGTGGCGTACATCCGTTCCAGGATCCTGAAAAAACATATGGTGTATGAAATAATCGTTGGTCACCGGCTACCATGAGAATGCATCTCCTTACTTTGCTCCACTGCTTTGTGGATCAGACCTTCAGATCGAAGGCTCTAGGCGTGGCCCCATAACAAAACCACTTACTTCGGTTTTGAAACCCGGGTAGTATCACAGCCCTCCAACAAATCAAGTGAGATTTGTGTGGCACATATGTATCAGGTGCCCCCTTGTACCAATGTTTATGTGTTTAAATAAATAAATAAATAAGCTGTATCATCAACTTACAAATAATTTATTAACAAACTTTATGTATTTATAGGTGCCCAGATTGATACAGACAGGGATATATGTGCAGTTACCGTGGTTACATGAATGACCTATACTTATAGCTGACTGATCATCTGCATATCATTTCATAAAAGCTGAGAGTCAGAGAATAAGTTATACAACACAGACAACTAAACTAACTAAGCTTTTCTCGGGCATATGTTAGTTCGAACAAAACCAGTTTCATTAGTAATGAGTAATAGATGAAAACAATAGTAGAATTTCACTGGTCACATAATGTCATACGATTTGAAAGATTTCAGACTGATTATTCGAACCTAAGACTATGAAATCACTTTTCATGTTAGAAGGTTAGGTGAAATCTACAGGAATCCCTATATTTCATGTACATTTCATACTAGGTGAAACGTATCAGCAAGGCATGTATCTACACGTTTGAAGAAATAGATATTTACTCTGAAACACAAAGCTGCACTAACCAGTATCAGAGTCAAAAAAGTTGCCACTATTGTAAAACGTATAAATCAAATCTTCAATGAAGATGTTAGAATAAACATGACATACTCATTGATCAGTCAGTGTGTATATTCTGGTTATACAGAAAATCAATCACGACTCAAATAGCCACATTAGTAACATCTCTATGACATTGAGTGATATGGGTTCAACTCCAGTAAAAGAAATGGGATTCTTCGAGATTGTGAGTATGTATTGATGAAGGATAGTACATAGCACTGGGAATTATATCTAATACCTCTTCTTGATAACATTCTACGACCTAACACTAGAAAATTAGGGTACTTAATGTCAAGTCAGCCATAATAATGATCAAATAATCAACACTTGTTGGGGACGATAGATCGCCAAAACTCATATTTTGTGATTTTACCATATCGATTAACTTATCGATTAAATGTTCAATTATTGGAATGGCAGTCAATCGATTAGCTTATCGATTAAATGATTAAATAGCAGTCAATTGACGAACTTATCGATTAAACATTTGAATGGCTGTCCACTGATGGACTTATTGATTAATGTTTAAAAAATTTTATAATGACAATATCGATTATAAATATTTGTATAAATACGCTTGACTTGTGTGCCTGATTGACTTGACTTGATCTGACATGACTTGGCCTTCCGATACGTTGATCGAGGACCCAGTGGGCTTGTGGAACGTCAACTCCAGTTAACAACCCTACTCTGTCACATGTAATAGTAGGTAGCCGTACACCTTTCAAATGTTTCCACCTTTTCTGGAAGTCGGTCGGTGGCATTTCTGCTTTTTTAACAGGTAGGTTATCGATAGTGTATGCACCTTCGATCCTTATTCGGTTAGTCTTATCTAAAGATTCAATTTCGAAATTAGTAAATTCAGCGTTCTGAGATGACGCTCCAATTACAGAGGATATGTTTAATCGAGTCACTGTACCTGAAATTCCCACCTGCTTTGCCACATCACTAAGCAGTAGTGTCGTGTCTGAGCCGTTATCTAATAATGCATATGTATCCACGTGTCCTGTGGAGCCATGTCACCTGACTGGTACAAGCCCCAAATACGTTCCAGTGTGCTTGTTTAACATCAGGTCCTGTGTCGTGAAGAATTCTATGATGACGTCGTTTGCATCCATCGATTTCACACGACATGGGTTATCGGCAGTTTGTTGCTCGATGATTGGGTTTTAAACAATTAAAGCAAAGCTCAAACTTCTTCAGTAATTCTAACCTTTCGTTGTGATTTACTGCTAGCAGCTGTGGGCAAGATACGACTTCGTGGGTATCAGAGCAAATTACACAATGAACTGTTCCTTTACTCGACAATGTACGGATCATAGCTCTAATAGAAGCAGATCGGTTGTTCGATGTCGTTTGAACTTTGTAGCTCCCACTTGCCAACTGCCCTTAAGTGTTCGTGGCGATTGACACTCTCCTTTCTAAGAATTGCAACAAGTCATCAAAATTGGGCCCTAGCCCCTTTCTTAAAATATCGTCTGCGGCTTCCGCCTATTTAAACTGCATACCTCGTGGTAGTCGTTTCACTATTCGTTCATATTGGTCGAACAATTCAGATCAGCATTTCTGCCCATCTGTGACAAGGCTATCTTACAGTTGGTCATGAGTCTCGTTACTCTCTGTAGCCCCGTTACATCGTCTCGATTTAGTGGTGATCCATCTAACAATTCTGTTAAGAACGCTTCTACGATGTCATGTGGTCTGCCGAACTGTTCGTGTAGAATTTTAATTGCTTCAGTATAACCTTCTTCTTCTGGTAATAAAACACAGTGTTCTTTAGCATCCTATGCTGCGCCTTCACAATAATGTATCAGGTACATTAATCTCTGAGTATCATCATCTACTCTGTCCGCTATGTTAGCCTTGAATCCTTTTATGAACGTCCAAAATCTGAAAGGACTTCCATCAAATTTCATGATCTCTATCTTCGGTAAACTGGTTGTCATAAATAGTGACTTGATACTATCCACTTGTGTTTTGAGTTGCACTTCATCGCCCAAATGTGCATTGGTATACCGGCGACCTGACGTGACTGGTGGGTTTATGTCCCTGGATCACTTGCTTTTCTCACTTTGCTTAAAGAATTCGGAGTTAACTCTAACAATCGCTTGCGGAGTTGGAGTTCTCGAATCTCCAGCTCAATCTTTTCTACTTCCTTTTCCCTAGAAACTACTTCGTCTTCTATGCTGCGTCTAGTCTCTACATAGTTGTCTCCTACAGAACAACCGTCTTTGGGGTTCAGTTTAACATTATCAAGAGCAAGATTTAAAGAAATAGTTTATTTCTTTTAAGAAACTGGAGGGATAATATTTTCAGAACTGGAATTTTCTGTGACTTTTAGACTGTCTCCGTTGTACTTCATTCTTCTTGTCCTCGTCATTATTGGTACAAATGAGCCAAATCGAATTCCAACCAAATTCGTTACAGCAAGTATTCTAACCAATTACGAACAAGTTTCAGAATTGTATCTACACCAATTGAGACCAAAGTTGAGAACTGTTAATTCTATCGAAGCGTCCAAGTAACCCCGATTGAGATACGTGCAAAACAACGATTTGTCTACAATAGCGGTTCTTTATTAAATAATACACAACATTTAGTTAAAAACATCAACTTGTGAGGTGTCTGGGGCGTTTAAACGCGTCGTTCAAGAATGAAAATAACAAAGGCTTCCTGTAAGTGTAACATGAAGAATGATTATAACATACGATAGTACAAAGGACAGCTGATAGCTGTGACAAAATTTGATAAATGTTTATGAACGACCAAATCCCGGACGAAGAGCAAACAATATGGAAACTGTTGCGTTTAAACACATGCATAAAACTGTGGATAACCGTTACAGTGATCAAGGTACAGTAATTATAGTGATAAATACAATCCTAGGCCATAGAATGACTTGAGGATTACCAAGGTAAATTCAAGGTTACGACAAATTGTTTTTGTACACATAAGGGGGGTTTAAATTTACGAATAGCTAAGGCTTCAATAAACTTAAGAATTCGACCTTGACAATTTCTATACAACATTCTAAATGCTGTATTAATGTTAATTTTGTGCCACGTCTCAATTATGTGTTTTGCTATTGATGAACTTGGTTTTCTACCTCCTACATTAATCGGATCATTTGACACACACTGATTTTGAAGCCATCTGGGTACATGTTCATTCACCCTTGATTGCATTGTTCGATTACTCCTCCCTATGTATGTGTGTCCACACAAACATGTAAATTGGTAAATACAATGGGATGTGACGTAATCATTAGTGCATTGTTTGGGTCTATTATGAAACATGGCCTAAGACTTTTCAATCACTACCAACTGAGCAGCATAATACGTATTCTCAATGGCTGCTTTCAATCTGTGCCTTAAAACTATACTATTTGATTCGCCTCTATATGGTAGATTGATGTAAACCTTTTTCTTTGGCACTGAATAAATTAGAGGTCTTGGCATTAATTGACTTTTGCACCTATTAATAAACTTGAGTGGATAACCAATTGATTCATGATCAATTAAAGTGTTGTTGAAATATATATGCTCAATGTGTCCATAACCATATTTTCTTTCTTTTAAAATAATTTCATAATTAACTTCCTTAA